CACTAGGTTTACCGGGAGCCAAATCATCATGCCACTTGGTCACACAATTGAACATGAAGAGGTATGTTTTTAGCCGTACCGTACCAGTCTTCTCACTCTCTTCTCCTCAGCATACTACACATTGTCATAGTGAAGAATATGAACTATATTCATTGGGGCTTCTAAATCATTTTTCTCCCCAATGTTTAAATTGTGTCAATTTAGTTGACAATGTATAAAAAGTGTTTCAATTTGGTCCCCAACCTTTCTAGAAAATGCTTCTCAATTTTTTTTAGTAATTTTATTTATGTACTTGTGCTTAGTGAACCTTTGGTTCTGAGACACATTGCTTTGTTGGTCATCCCAGATGCTTGAAGTAATCCGACTTGAAGGCCATTCTCTTGCTCAAGAAGACGCTTTTGTGTCGAGGGACATTCATCTCCTGCAGGTGCTTTCTTCAGTATCTTCACAAACTACACAAAAAATGAACTATGACACTTCAAGAACTAAAATATAAATATATTTAAGAATATTCAGCCAGAAAGTTGTTTTTGTTGCAGATATGTAGCGGAGTTGATGAGAACGCTGTGGGAGCCTGCTCTGAACTTGTTTTTGCTCCAATTGATGAAATGTTTCCTGATGATGCCCCGCTGCTACCCTCTGGTTTTCGCATTATCCCATTGGATTCAAAATCAGTTGAGTTAAAAAAAAAAATTCATATCTGATATTTAAGTTTTTATTAATTAGACTTGCTGTATCTAATAACAAAATCATATGTTTTGAAGTGCAATTTGAGTTGCAATTTGAGTAACTGAACTGTGTTTAAAACCAGAGTTGAATATAAATATTTTAACTGCAATTTGACTGAGCATTATAAAATTTTGTTGAGCAGTTTTTTTATTAATGTTTTCATTGTTCAGAGTGATACACAAGATACTTTGAATGCACAACGGACCCTGGATCTGACATCCAGTCTTGAAGTGGGCCCAGTGACAAACCATGCTTCTGGTGATGGATCTAACACTCGTTCAGTGTTGACAATTGCTTTTCAGTTCCCATTTGAGAACAGTCTACAGGATAATATCGCGGCAATGGCTCGCCAATATGTCCGAAGTGTGATTTCCTCTGTACAGAGAGTTGCGATGGCGATATCTCCATCAGGATTGAGCCCTACCATGGGTCCAAAGCTCTCTCCAGGCTCTCCTGAAGCTCTAACACTGGCTCACTGGATCTGCCAGAGCTATAGGCAAGTGGTTTTATTTCTCTTAATTGTTCAATATGTCCGAAATATGTTGTAATATTTTTTTTCCTTTCTGATTTTTTTTTTTTTGGGTTCTCTTTTTCTCCTCAGTTATCATTTAGGGTCAGAATTGCTGAGATCCGATTCCATTGGTGGTGACTCAATTTTGAAAAATCTCTGGCATCATCCAGACGCGATATTGTGCTGCTCATTGAAGGTATGACATTGAGATCCAACCCATCCCTTTTACACGTCATTAAAATGTTTTGTATATTCCTTTCTTATTTTTTTTCAACTGTGATTCCCTCTATCTTCTCATCAAGCAAAAGCAACATCAATCTACTACTTGTAAAAGGATAGGAGCTTTAAGTAAACAACATAGTGATTGCAGATTTTTCTGATCAATTATCTTGAAATTGATGGGCAGCGCATGTTAAATGAAAATCATAGTAACAAGAATAGAGGCAATATATATATATATATATATATTCATTTGGTAGACATGAATAAGAATGTTCCAATTAGAGTTGGCAAACTTAACCCGAAACCATGAACCTGCCTAATTTCACCAGTTTAAACCTGTCCAAATATATAAACGGGTTATATTTGGACAAAATGGGTTGGATATGGGTCTACAGTTTGGACAAAATAAAAATAAAATAAAATAAAATAACAAGGAACCCACCACCACCCCACCAAATCCACCCTTCATTGGAAAAAGAGTTAAAAGTAAATGGGTTGGTGGGATTCGTGCAGGATGTAGTAAATCAATATTTTTTTGTTGCTATAATCAAGACTGTTTTTGGTGTTGCAGTCGTTGCCAGTCTTTGTATTTGCCAACCAGGCAGGGCTTGACATGCTGGAAACAACTCTGGTGGCTTTACAAGATATCACACTGGACAAGATATTCGATGAGTCTGGCCGGAAGGTGTTATATTCCGACTTTGCTAAGATAATGCAGCAGGTACTTTCCACATTTGAGATAAATTTTTCCTTGTTTGCATTTCTTTGATGGGTCAGTCTTTCATGGTGTAAAAAGACGTGGAACAATCATGATAAAGGTCTTGAATTCAATTATGGTTTTGCATCCTTAATGCTTGTCACTGAAAGAAAGAAATAAAGAAAGAAAAGGAAGTGAGGGGAAATTAGGGTTTAGTCACCTTGTACACTTAAGTGCAAGAGGTAGCTATCTAGTTTGAACATTCTTTTCTCAAAAAAAAAAAAAAAAAAAGTTTATTTGATATTAATGTAAAAGTATTTCTAATATCTATGTGCACTTTTGATCAATGGAAGGAACTCATCATGTATTGGGTATAAATCCTCCTCTCTATGGTGGTATTTTTCATCCTTTTAATTTGAACCCAATGAATTACTCGAGGTGAAGTCTGCCTTGGATTTGTGGAGGGAAAAAGAAAATTGAAGTCTTTCCCTGTTTGGTTTGTTTATGTATTCCTTATTTTCGTTGAAAGTTTTCAAATACAAAAACAATGAAAAGTTCAAAAACATCTGTCATTTTCTGTGTGCAAAACAAATTTTGAAAATTTAAAAATAATGTTTTGGTGTTTTGCAGGGATTTGCTTGCTTGCCGGCTGGAATCTGCATGTCAACGATGGGGCGCCATATTTCATACGAACAAGCCATCGCATGGAAAGTCCTAGCTGCTGAAGAGAACACTGTCCATTGTCTTGCCTTCTCTTTTGTTAACTGGTCATTTGTGTGAAAATCTTGTTTATTTATTCATCTACTACTCTCTTGCCTTCTGTAGTGTTGTGAAATCGAAGAGTAAAAGAAGAGTAGAGAAAAGAAAAAGAAGTTTTGTAGTATTCAAATCCTGCCTGAGGTTTGCATTACATTAATTTATTTAATTAAACGATTCCATGTTTTTGGTTGGTTAATGTAAATTTCATTTGCTTTTTTGATATTAAGTTTCAAAAACTTAAAACATTGTAAATTTTGAAAAACAGTCATCTTTAGGCTACTTTTGTTTTTTCTTTTTCTTTTTCTTTTTTGAAATGTAATGAAATGCTATATCTTCTAGTATTTTGTCATATAATTTTCGTTTTAATATTTATTTTTAAAGAGCAAAAAAGTATTCAAAAATAATATAAAAATAGGATAAATTATGCTCACTTTTCTTGAAATTTTTAGAAAATACAACTAATTTCACATTTTTGATATATTTATAGTGGGCTTTTTCAAAATTTTAAATTATATAATATTTAAATCATTTTTCCTCAATAATTTCTAAGTCATGAATGAAAATATAATATTATTATCGATTTTTTACAAAATTATATATTTGCATTTACTTATTTCAATATCCATTACTTATATTAGTTTTGATTACAATGTGACTATCTCAAACTTGTGAGCTTAATTATATTTTTTTTCAAACATCTTAGAGCATCTCTAAGGGTGCATATTTTTTTCATCAAATTTGAGTAGATATTTTAGTAAAAACTCTCTTTGATATCATGTGTTTTAATGAAAGATTTTCAGCTTTCATTAAATCACCAGTTGATCGGGCAGATATCCAACCAATTGACTGACCAATATATTTTTTTCACAAATTTTTTCCCTAGAGGTGGGTCGTATGGAGGACATTTGGTAGTGAAAATGAAATGAATATGAATACTGATTCGATAAAAGCTCTCAAGCATCCTCAATTTGATAAAAGATTTTTAATATTCTCAATTTGATATTAACCTGGTGAAATCATTGGAGCAAAAAAAATATTATTTTTTTACCAAATTTAAATTTAATGAAAAAATTGATGAACCATTAAAAATGGTCTTAGATGAGGTGAAATAGCATCATCTTTTCGGTACAACGCATTGTGGGTTCACAGAAAAAAAAAATTAAAAAAATAAGAGTTAAATAAACAGAAAAGATGGGATACAATTTATGTATTTATTTATTTTTTTAATCTCCTCGTGCTGGTACCCACAACTTAAACAGATTAATAGAAGAGTACAATTTTGAATATCATATATGTTACAAATTCCACAAGATAGTTTCTCAAAATTTATGAATGTGACTAATCCATGAGACACGACAGCAACACTACCATCCTGAATTCACAACTTGAATATGGAAAGAACCATCTTCTTGTCTGATTCACCAAATATATACATGCACACGTTACAGAAATACAGCAAATTGTGTTAATGTTTCGAAGTCGAATGCACAGAAAAACAAGTTTAAAAAAGAGAAGAAGATCACACCGCCAAAAACATAAATTTGAATGAGAATCGCTAAAAGACTTTCCATTCCTTGCATAATTATGTTTTCTTTATTCATCGGGATGCCAGTGACCAGAAGTTCAAGAGAAAAGATGGCAGTGCAGTGAACCAGCAGAGGAAAGCCATGGCTGTTGCAGTCTCAAACTGTGCGCAGTGATTCTGAGAACAGATACCAAGATCATTGCCGATAAGGACAGTGATACCCGCAGATGCACAGGCTGCTGCAAATGTAAGAGTGGATGTGATCTGCAGTGGAAAGAGATAATAAGCTATGGCATTTATTTAATTTCGCAAGAGAATGAATATAGTAGTTACAAATTTCCCATGATTGTCAATATATATATATGTATATATGCTGTTTGTTGGGCAATCGAGTCGATAAAAATTATTTATGGCATATCTTCTCATTTCTGCACTTCCATTTCAAACCCATGCTGAATACAACTTATTTTTATTTTTAATTCCTCCCAATAGGTATGCTGAATATGACTTCTGAGTTTGTTTTATCACAAAAAAGGTTGTTTTTCTTTAGTATTAACATAAAATCTAAGAAGCATAGAAACGCTGACAATTTTCAAGAAATGCACATCACAAAACGTAAGAGGCACAAAATATATAGTTTTATATATTTCTTATATATCATACATATGAATATATCATTCAAAGATAATACACACCTTCTTAGAAGTGTCTATGCTTTTTAACTCAAAATCAATCAGCTCTAAGGTATTTCTCATAGGCAATGAATAATACATGATGGAAAAGTTTCCAAGTCAAAAGTTGTGTCGCCTTAGAACTTTGCACAAACCATTGGGAGTGATCCCAAATTTAGGTGTAAAAAGTATTTCTCAGTTTACACATTCAAAACTATGATTTTCATGTGAGGGCTTCTCAAGACTCACAACCTAGTCCAGTTCTAAAACTCAAGCATCAAAGATCAAATCAGCAGTCGATCATAAAAAAAAGAAGATCAAATCAGCAGAAAAACTCAATAATGACACACCCATTGTTACCAAGGAAAACGACGAGAGTCTTGTTATAAATGTCAGTGATCACCCCCACAAACATTATAACTCCAACACATACCTCTATGTAAAATGTACCAAAAAGTTAATCTTTTAACTGGAATTTTACGATGTGAGAAGAAAACATGCATTTCTTGCAATAATTCGGTTTGCTACAAGTGCTTGAAGGAAGCTATCTTACCCCATCACCAATGGCAAATAAACTGACAACCCGATAATTCTGCAGGCAACGACCCACTAGAAGGGCATATATATCAACTACAGCTAGCGAAAGGCTCCACAGGCTCTGCAAGCCAACAGCAGCAACAAGGTAGCTGCCATGGCAAATATCAGAAAAGCTTTTTTTTAAGTACCAGAGTTAAAACATATTTCCAAATTTAATCAAGCATTTATAACTCAGATGCGGAAAACATATGCAAATGAAACTAAAAAAAAAAGGCCATGAAACAACTGTACAAAAGGTAACTGATATACAGTCTTTGAGCTAAGATCGAGTAGTTTACGATTGTTGGTTTGGTCGTACGATTGATTTGCACCACTGGCCAAATGAACTAAGCTGCCCTTTCCATGGGGCCTCCAACCTCTTAAGGGGAATACTTGTGTTTGTGTAATCCTGACAACTATTAGTTTTTAAATCTAATAACCAAACATTTATCCATCAGATATGCAGACATGAGACTATTCAACATTGTTGCTTGCTGTTGATAAAAACAGGAATGACCATATATGAGTTACACAAACAATCAGTTAACTGAAATTGGCCATCTAGACTGCCTTGGTGGAATGACTACATCTGACTGCCTTACAGAATCTGAACTAGCTTCCTACTTACAAAAGCCCTCCCTTCCTCCCCTCACCAATACAAAATGTCACTTCATAAGGTTGCATATCATGAACACAAAAGCGTTTCATTAATCCCAAATAAATCTTAAACCACCTGGAAGGTTTTTCATATCATAAACAGGTAGGCCTGCTAGAACTTTAGATGAACGACGGAGTACGGAGGTCTAACAAGAAAAACAACCAATTAAGGGCTTGGACAAACACACAGTTGTACGAGACAATCAGAATGAAAACCCTCAAATGGGCATTTGTTGTAGTCCTCATACAGAAAATTGAATTCACAGATCAGAAATTCAAGATAGGAATTAAACACACTCATATTAGTTGCATCAATGGTCTACTAAATTCAGATGACCTTTTATCTAATGGTGTCCTTCAACCGAGCAAATTTTACAAAGAGAACGGGTCAATTGGCTTCCAAGTAGTCCAAAAAAGGGGATAAGACCTAATGGCAGCCACTCTCTGCTGCTAATCATCGAAAGAAACAGTGATGGATTGATCCAAGAATGGATACACCATAACAAAAAAAATTACAATAATGCAAAGGATAATAATCAATCAAAAAAATATCCCAAAGGGCCCTCTCCTTGAGAAACTGGCATTATCAACCAAAGAAGTGTCTTTATCGGTTGCAATCCTAGAAAAATCAAGATATACCATATTCAGATTTTCTATCTTTCTTTCTTCTCCTCTTCCGACTAATGTCTTTCCTGCTTGAAGCTATTTCACGAATTGGATTTGAACCAATATCAAGCATCCCCCAAGCCCACCCTTGTGTGGCAAGACGTCATACATCTTGTGGTGTCATTCCACCAAGCCCAAGTTCAGGAATTATAAACCTTCTCTTTCTAATGAAGTGAGACGCTTCAAACCATCTTTTGTTCCCTTTTTTCTGCCACCTTTTGCTTATCCAAATCTGTAACTCTAAATTTGTACACATGTCACAATGCATATTCCACTGTGACATGTTTCTTATCGCCTTTGTTTGACCACAAAGTACTTGACTTCAAAGTACTTGACTTTTATCTCCAGCTTGGGCTCTCTCCTCCTCAGCATCTTCTCCTCCAACAAACTAAAGATACCAGTTAAATTATGTTGGTACTCAGTCAGCAGTACTATGATTTTTACAATGAATAAAACAAAAATAATGCACCCTACAGAAAACAACATGAAATAGATTCTTAAATTTATCTACTTGACAAGAAAATATGTATCTTGTATCCATAAAAACACTCCCCTGTTTGTTCTCAATCTCAATCCAAAATTCACTTGTGTCCTAATCATTGTAAACATATAAAGGCACACCTATAAGATCAAATTTAAAGTACCACCTATGCTATCATATAAATCCCATTGACAGGTTTTTTGAGGTTTCCCAAAATATACACTCAAATTCAGATCAAATTTTGTAACTTGTTGCGTTTTAAGTGCTACTAACGTTCAATTCAAACCCACCAAACCCTATTCGAAGAAATGGAGACTCAGTAAACAACTAAAAATCAAAATTGAAGTGGTGTGAATTACCAGAAGGCAGTGACAGAAGGGAAGTCGCTGGTGGTGACCATGACAGAGAAAGAAACGATTGCGAATACGAACTGAGAGAGACGCAAGGTGACGCCTCCGATGGTGCCAGGCATGCCTTGGATGTCCTTCATCCTCACTCTGGGCACATTCTCGCCCTCCGTCAGAGCCGGTGGCGCTTCCACTGGGTGAACCGATGGGTGGCTCAAGTTCATTTCTTCCACCACTCCACCACCACCACCACCACCACCCAACTCCGGTGATCTAAATCTAGCTAGCTACACTGCATTGTATATGGATCGATGAATTGTGGGTTTCAATTGGTGATCTGGGTTGTGAAATTCGACAATTGATGATCGCGTAAACAAGTTGAGAAACCCCTATTTCGTATTCGATTCTATCAGAAATGTGATCGGGAGGTCGTTCCAGGTAAGCAACCGAGTTGCCCCAGCTACCTAAAGACTATGCATGAGTTGAGTGATAGTGAAATGATATATACTCTTTTCATTTTAGAATAATAGTTTCTTTTAAAAAATTTAATTTTTTTAATAGTATAATTATTATAATTTAAAAATATAATTTCTAAAATTTTTCTTTGATAATATATTTTTTAAAGAATATTAATTGTCATAAGAGTACTTTTGTATTGTTAATGGATTTTAAAGAAGGATAAAATAGAAAATTTATATTATTTTAATTATTGATTTTTAAAAAGAACTAATTGAGATAATGAAAAATAAAATAAGGGGCTGATGTTTAGGGACAGAGGGAGTAATTTTATTTAGGTTTCCTCTGGAAAGTAGGTTGAATATTTAGCTTTTTGAATATTTTAATTTGGGTTAAAAAGTTTATTTATATTGACTTTTTTAGCTTTTGTGTGAGAAAAAAAAATAAAATGATTATGATTTGAATATGATATTTTATTTTATTAAAATTTTAATTTATTTTGCCTTTTTCTGACTAAAAAAGCCACCATCCTCATTTTAGTCCATTTTCAAACGAGAGCTTATAATTTATTAGATATAAGAACTTAAATAGGATAAAGAAAACTTATCGGCACTGTTTGATGTGGAATATTGGAAATTAAAAATTGATAATTATAAAACATAAGTTAAAAACATATTTCTCTCAATTTTTAACTTATTTAAGTTATTTTTATCTAATAAGTTATAAGCATAAATTGTACTAAAGAGTTTGACACAAACAACTAAATTAAAATGAGTTATGTTATCTGGAAGTTGAGACAACAATAATTTTAACTTATATTTTTTGTTTAATAACTGTTAAATTATAAGAAAAAACACCAAACAAAAACTATTCTATGGTTTTAGGGGTTGATTTAGTTAAAAATCGTTTGATTTTGTATTTAATTTTGTACTCCTTTCTTTGTTAAAATATGAGATTTTTTTTCTTAAAAAAAAAAAACTTGCAACCCTTTGATATGATTTTTTGATTTTTTATTGGTATTTTCATTATTTTAGCTACTTGCCAAACGGGCCATTAGGGTTGATTTGGGAGGTGGTTATTTTAGTTTTTTTCTTTTTAGAAATCACTGTTCATTGAAGGTTAGAGAAAAAAATACCACAAACATGTGGTGTCGTTTGGTAACACTTATGTTTTTAGTTTTCTGTTTATATTTATAAAAATTTAAAAAACTCAAATACAAACTTGTTTGGTAAAATTTTTGATTTATAAATTAGTAGTCTCAGTTTATAAATTTGGCCAAAAAATAAAAACACAAAAAATATGTTTCCATTTTGAGTTTTGAGTTTTTTTTTTTTTTTACAACTCAACACTAGCCACCACCAGCCACCATTTTCTACCACTGTCTTCCGCCACCACCACCCACCTCCTACCACCACCTGCCACCACCACTCACCACCCACTTGCCACCACCAGCCACCACCCGCCACCACCACCCACTAGCTACCTACCAGCTACCACTCACCTGCCACCCACTCGCCACCGCCACCCACCCCCCGCCATCACCGCCGCCACCATCGCCACCACCACCCACCTACCACCCACCTGCCATCCCCCCGCCACCACCCACTACCCGCTACTACCATCCACCGCTCGCCACCACCACCTGCCACCTACTTGCCACCACTACTCACCACCCACCACTACTACCACCACCACCCACTTGCTACCACCTACCACCTGCCACCGTCACCCACTCACCCACCACCACCACCATCACCACTACTCGCAACCACCCACCACCACTACCACTACCACCTCCACTCTATTACTTCCACCACCACCACTATGACGCACGACTACTCCAGCCTGACACCTCTACCTCTACTTCCACTTTGTTACCGCCACTACTACCACTACTAATACAACCATTGATACATTAATTTCTATAATGCAACCAAACACAAGAAAATATTTTCTATCAAAACAAATTGAGCATAAAGATAAATTTATTCAAAGTATTTTCTCTGGAACTTATATATATACATATATATAAGGAGTCGCTATTCCCACTCCACTTTGCCCCAAGTACACTCATTTCGTTGTCTTTATTATATATAGTTACATTAATACCCTTGAAATTTTAGTTTTTCACAGTGTATATTGTGTGAAAGGATATTATTGTAACTATGTATAGTAAGGAAAAGAAGAGAGTATATTTGGAGTAAAGTGGAGTAAGAATATCAGCTTCCTATATATATACACATAATTAAACAATGATAAAGTAAAATTTTAAGGTTTAAATTGAGGCTCACAAGAGGGATATGAATAAGTATATAGAGATGAATGTATGAAGGGGAGCTCATCCCATACCTGTGATATTTCTTACTAATAATGAAATCTGAAATGTGTACATCATATTTTTTATCAATAAAATTTTATTTTCTCACATCTAGACATAAGTGAATGAATTCATGTGCCGTTATTAATGTAAGTTCTAATAACTTGTGTGGAGGAACCAGAAAATGTGATAAGAAATGCAACAAAGCTACCAATATACCTACATCAATTTCATTTATATTGCTTCACTTATATATATACGGTTCGTTATTTGATTAATTTTATATCCGTAAACTTAATGTAAAAAGTGAGTTACATATATCATTGTTTTTTATTACTCATTTAATTTTTAAAATAAATTCTATGCATAATTATATTTTTTATTATATTTTTTTTGCCTTCTAAATTGAAAAATTGAGTCCCACTTAATTTTTTTATTTTATTTTTATATGGGTTAAAAATGAGTGAATGAGATCATATAACATTTTTCTATTTTTTAACAAGCACTTGCGCCACAATCTAATTTAAAACTTTTTACGACCAAAATAATATTAATTTGAAAGATTATAATACTTTTACTTATCTTTACATATTATTATTTCATCTATTTGTTTATTTAATTTATTTATATTTTCATATCACTACCATGAATAGTTTAAATGATCAAAATGGGACTTGTGCGGTGGGGGGTGATGGTAGGGGAAGACGGTAGTGGAAAATGGTGGCGGATGGTGGCTAATTTTGGGTGATAAAAAAAAAAAAAAAACTCAAAACTTAAAATGGAAACACATTTTTTGTGTTTTCATTTTTTGGTCAAATTTATAAACTGAGACCACTGATTTATAAATCAAAAATTTTACCAAACAAGTTTTTATTTAAGTTTTTAAAATTTTTGTAAATATAAACAGAAAATTGAAAACGTAAGTGTTACCAAACGGCACCTTACCAAACGCGTTTGTAGTTTATGTTTTTCTAAAAATAAACAAAAAATAAACAAAAACTAATTTATAAAAATTTTGTAAATATAAACTGAAAACGCAAACGTTACCAAACACACACGTAGAGTTGCATCCCCATAATTTTTGACTTGCACCCCATCATATAATGAGTTGCACTTCTAATATTTTTGTAATTTTTTTCTCCTCCATTGTGCTTTGATTGGCTCATTTTTTTATTTTTATTTTTTACTTTTCAATTTTTTAATCACTTTTTAATTAAAATCTTAACTTACCAAATATATAGTATATGAGAAGTGTTTGTTACCCGTCCTTATAACATATCAATTATGGCCTTATCAATTAAATTTTTTTAATATTGTTAAATTATAAATTATACATTACAAATTTAAAATTATATATTAAATAAAAATTATAAATTATAAGGGTAAAATAGTCATTTGAACATTTATTCTTATCCAGTCCGTCTAACTAAATATTGGATTCACTAAAAATAATCAAATCCAGACATATAATTCAATAACTAAACAAACATAAGATACAAATCCAGTCCAACCAAATAGTCCGGGGACTAACAGTCCGATGGATTACAATCCTCCCTTATCCAGTCCGTCAAAACAAACACACCCAAAGTCCATACCATATGTATTTGTATAAATTTTTATAAATATATATAAATTATCTTAAAGTTATGATTTATCAAATTTGTATATTTGTCATCAACTTAAAAAGTCAAATATTTAATTAATTTTTTTATTAAAAAACAAATTTTTTAAACAATTTTCCAAATACATTTCACATTTGAAAATGTCTAATCATTTGAGTTTCTCTACACTTTGGGTAGAGAAAGAAAGAGAAAATAAATATAATAAAAAAAATTAAATGCATGGCAATGGACAGAAATTTTGAACATTTATTTTTCTAAGACATCGTTGTTGGTCGGTTAACTAGTAATAAATTCGGTTTTAAAGTCATCCAAATGTAATTGTCTTTTCTATTTTTCCTTTTCCTTGGTAGGTCTGTCTTTTTGACGTATGACACGTCAATAAGGCTTCATTTGCCCATATATTTAAAAAAGTTAGTTATATTAAGATTTTATTAATAAATATTAGTATTTCTTTCTTTTATTTATGAAATAATATATGTTGACTATTTGTAGTGGGACCTCCTTTTTTTTTTCTTTTTTTTTTTTTTTTACCCATACATTCTGTCTGCTAGGTCGTCAAGATCTGCTGCTGAGAGTTGGTCGTAAAAGTCATCTCCATCTCCCATGGGTGGTTCATCGTTCCATTATTGATCATTTTCTCCCATCACTGGTGATTCATGAGAGACGCCATGCTGGTAGTTCGGGTACTGACTTTCATCGACAAATGTCTCTTTGCTGAATGGATATTCTGGGATGGCTAATTACAATGTATCTTCTGATGTCTATCTTCACAGACTAGATGTCCATAATTTCCATTATAGGCTAAGAGAGAGTTGCTAGCAAATTTTCTCCATTTATTGAGCTGGTCTTTGAGTGAAAATCTTCTGCATGGCCAGGGTCTCCTATTGAGAAGTCCTGGGTATCCTGGAAATGTAGAGGTTCCTCTGAGGTACATTTTGTGTTTAGTTGGATTGCACCATATTCCCTTCCACTCTGGTAGTTTGCTATCTATCAAAGCTTCCACATACGGATGATGTTCTTCCATTACGCACAGTACTGCATGAGCATGCTTGTGTCCAAAGTTATCTGTCTGATCTGGATCTGTGAAAA